CTCTATTCTAGACTAAGTCTCTACACCCAAGGATTTTTCTTTTCTTTTTTCTTTCTTTTTTCTTTTTCTTTTTCTTTTTTTTTTTTTAAGACAGGGTCTTGCTTTATTGCAGTCTGGAGTACAGTGGTGTGGTCTCAGGTCACTAAACCTCTGCTTCCCTGGTTCAAGCCATTCTCCTGGCTCAGCCTCCTGAGGAGGTGGAATTACAGATGTGCACCACTACGCCTGGCTAATTTTTATATTTTTAGTAGAGACGGGGTTTCACCATGTTAGCCAGGCTGGTCTCAAACTCCTGACCTCAAGTGATCCTCCTGCCTCAGCCTCCCATAGTGCGGGGATTACAGGTGCGAGCCAATACACCTGAGCTGATTTTTCTTATTTTTAAATTACTTTTTGGTAAACTAGTGAAGATCTAGTGAAGATTATTTATTACGTGTATATTTTCAACCTGCATCTTGTCATTCTGTTTCTTTCCCCACCTAACATTTTATTTTACTATAAATGATTGCAGTCATCATCCTAAAGCAGGCGTCCCCAGACTTTTTACACAGGGGGCCAGTTCACTGTCCCTCAGACCGTTGGAGGGCTGCCACATACTGTGCTCCTCTCACTGACCACCAATGAAAGAGGTGCCCCTTCTTGAAGTGCGGCGGGGGGCCGGATAAATGGCCTCAGGGGGCCGCATGTGGCCCTCGGGCCGTAGTTTGGGGACGCCTATCCTAAAGCATATGGAAAATGTCCCTTCCCCTGACCACTTGTGTCTGATGTACCCACCTCTGGATATTTTTGAAATAATTTAAGGGGAGAAAAACCGTATTTTTAAGAGCTAGAGGGCAATTTCCAGCTCTTAATGAATCTAACAACCTGCAGTCCAGGGCCAAGACGAGTGAATTCTCTTTTCCCTGCTCTCCTGATGAACTCAGTGACCAGCCACGGGCAGGCAGGTGGGTGGGCAAAGACCCCTGGCTACCAGGTGCCAGCATGTCAGCTGCATGAACTCTTGGCACCAGAACTGCCACCTCTGCAGACATGCTCAAAAGACAAGCTTGGCCCGGGTACATTGGCTCATGCCTGTAATCCCAGCACTGAGAGGCTGAGGTGGGCAGATCACCTGAGGTCAGGAGTTCAAGACCAGCCTGGCCAACATGGCGAACTCCCATCTCTACTAAAAATACATAAAATTAGCCAGGTGTGGTGGCAGGTGCCTGTAATCCCAGCTACTCTGGAGACTGAGGCAGGAGAATTGCTTGAACCTGGGAGGCAGAGGTTGCAGTCAGTTGAAGTTGTGCCACTGCACTCCAGTCTGGGCAACAAGAGCAAAACTGTCTTAAAAAAAAAGACAAGCTTGGAGGATGATCCCGAACCACAGACCCAGGGTAGGAAGAGCCCAAGCTTAGGCGCTGAAGATCTTGGTTCAATCCTGGGCCCAGACATCTTTTCTTCTATGGCTTTAAGTAAACTATTTATTAAACCTTCTGTGGGCCTCAGTTTTATTATTGGTGAAATAGAGTGCTAATCCTTCAGTCAGAACAGATCCAATTCCTAGAGAAAAGGGATATCCAGAGAGCACCTTCTGCGGTGTCTGGGACGCAGGAGATGTCACATAAATGGCAGCTATGAGTGATATTCCCCCTCTCTGGAAATGACTTCTGGGAGAGACCAGGGCAGTGAGAGCCACTCCAGATCTGAGAACATGGAGAAGTGGAGATCAGTGCTTCCACAAGTGTGGTCAACACTGTCACCAGTTACCACTGTTTAGGTCAGTGGACATATTTTCCAGAGCAAGGCTTTTCAGGCTGAGCGTGATGGCTCACACCTGTAATCCCAGCACAAACAGATCGGTTGAGCCCAGGAGTTTGAGACCAGCCTGGGCAACATGGAGAAAACCCGTCTCTAAAAAAACACAAAAATCAGCTGGGTATGGTGGCACGTGCCTACAGTCCTAGCTACTCAGGGGGCTGGGGATGGAGGATAGCCCGAGCCTGGGAAGTTAAGCTCCAGTGAGCCAAGATCTGGCCACTGCACTCCAGCCTGGGCGACAGAGCAAAACTCTGTCTCAGACAAATAGAAACAATGACAAAACCCCCAAAGACTTTCTGGATGACGGAAGCAGCGTCTAGATTCCCATTCTGAAGCAAAACCTTTATCTGGTTGTGGACGATTCCAAACAGTTTGTGGCTGTTCCCTCAGGGGAGCAGTGCTTTTGCTCCCGGCTGCGTGTGCGACCTCCATTCATTCATGGCTCTATCCCTCTGTACCCTTCCCTTCACACTTCTGCCTTTCATTTCTTCCATCTCTGGGCAGACTGTTCTGCCGACAACCCCTCCCAGGCTCAGCTGCGGCGGGAGCTCAACGACTCCCTCCAGATGGCCGAGATGCTGACCAGGAAGTACAACGAGCTGCTGCAGTCCTACCAGTGGAAGATGCTCAACACCTCCTCCCTGCTGGAGCGGCTCAACGAGCAGTTTAACTGGGTGTCCCGCCTGGCAAACCTCACCCAAGGCGAAGACCAGTACTACCTGCGGGTCACCACGGTGAGTGGTGTCCCAGCCACACGCTGTGGCTGGGGAGCCCGAGCTGTGCCCAGGAGCAGGGGCACATGTACCTTTGACCGAGCATTTATCAGGTGGCAGGAAATAGAAAACTTTAGGTGCCCTTATGGCCTTGAAGCCTCATCACTGAGGGAAAATATAACCGAGGAGCAAAGTGAAAGAGGTCCGTGGTTTGCCCAAGGTGTGAGAACTGACCGCTGACTCGGATGGGCATTTGACCCAGAATGCCGGGCGGCTGTTGTTCCTCTCTTGGTGCACAAACCTATGAATAAACCCGAAGCCTCTGTTCTGTTCTCAAAGCTACCTGGCTGCTTCTGGTGTAGAATGGCTTATGAATTGGTACATCATTCTCTGCCAGTGATAAAAACGTTCTCTCTAGACCAGACACGGTGGCTTATGCCTATAATCTTAGCACTTTGGGAGGCAGAGGCAAGAGGATTGCTTGAGGGCAATTTAGAGCAGCCTGGACAACACAGCAAGACTCCCTCTCTACAAAAAAATACAAACATCAGCCAGGTGTGGTGGCACACACTTGTAGTCCCAGCTATTCAGGGGGCTGAAGTGGGAGGATTCCCTGAGCCCTTCCGAGGTCGAGGCTGCAGTGAGCTGTAATCAGGCCACTGCACTCTAGCCTGGGAAACAGAGGGAGACTCTGTCTCTAAAAAAATATAATACGGTAATAAAACAAAATATAAAAAATAAAATAAAACTTATTTCTAGTACTGGGAACCCTTCTTTTTCTTTTCCTTCTTCCCTCCAAGTCCCTTGGATTCCTTTTTTGCTCTAGTCTGACCAATGGCTCCCCAAAGTGAATGTTTGGAAACCACTTGTATCCTCTGGGGTGCTCCCTGGGCTGGTCATTTGCAGGTGGCATTTGCCTCAACACTTGAGTGTCTGTGAACCAGGACGCTTCTGTCCACTGAGCTGTACTGATGTCTAGATGCGTGAGAAGAGCTGGGGTCAGCTCTCTGGGTTTTCTTGGAGGAGCAGGAGGACTTCCCTATCCAAAGCCTGGCTTCTGCTGCAGAGTGCATGCACAGCGTGTCAGCTCTTCTCTTTTGTTTCATCTAGGTGGCTTCCCACACCTCTGACTCGGACGTTCCTTCTGGTGTCACCGAGGTGGTCGTGAAGCTCTTTGACTCTGACCCCATCACTGTGACGGTCCCTGTAGAAGTCTCCATGAAGAACCCTAAATTCATGGAGACTGTGGCAGAGAAAGCGCTGCAGGAATACCGCAAGAAGCAGCGGTAAGCAGGGGGCCTTTCCTGTGGGCCTGCAGGGCCCTGCGGGTCTCTGGTTGCCAAAAACAAAAAACAAAAACTGCAGGCTCCATAGCTTGGTAGGAATGACTCTGTCTGGAGCCAGAGCCCAAGACAAAGCCAGGAAATTACCAGGATTTTTATGTTTCCTTTGGAGGATGTTTTACTTTGGTGGGTAACTCTTTTCTTTCAGGGAGGAGTGAGAGTTGAATGTTGCTTTTACACCCATGGGGGCATCTGAGTCCAGCTCCCCCTGAGATGAGCTGCAGCCCCCCAGAGAGAGCTCTGCATGTCACCAAGTGACCAGGCCCCAGCCTCCTGGCCCCAACCACGCCCAGCCTCTCCCTGCTCTGGATCCTGCACTCTAACACTCGAATCCGCTGCTCATGGGAAGAACAGACTTGATCCCGCATGCAACTAATTCAATAAAACTGTCTTGTGAGCTGAGCGCTCGGAGGCTCCTCTTTTTATGTTGAGTTTTTGTTTCCTGGCATTCCTTCATTTTGCTATGGGGGAGGGAGGTGGAAAATAAACAGAAACAAAAAAGCAGTGGCTAAGATGGTATAGGGACTGTCATATGGTGGAGAATAAAAGGGATCTGATGAGCAGCTTGATCCACTTCAAAAACTGCTTGCTTTCAGGAAAAGAGGTGTTTCAACAAGCCAACTAAAATATATTCCAGAAAAATGAAGACTTTCTGTTCTATTATGGAACTGTCAATGCATTATGCTATTATGAAACTTGATGATGCCAAGGTGTGGCAATCTCCTAAAGGAATCCACTGAAAGTTAGCATGAGAAGTAACAGTAAGGTATACTTGGTATTTAACACACAATGGATGTTCTTATGAAAACATTTGGTGCCCAGGAGTCAAAATGAGGCAGTTTTATTTGTTAAGAGCCGTTGCTTTTGCATCAGTTCCGCGTTGTAAGCGCTCAGCGTCCCAGGGGCACCTTGACCGTGACATTGCCAGTCCCCTGCCAGTTTATATGATCTTTGTATCATTTTCCCTGGACCACAGGAGTTTCTCTGCTTTCAGTCTGAACCGTAGCTGGACTGCAGTACCCTAGGCTGCCAGCAGGTGGCCATGACTACACATGGTACCAATCTCAAACTTTTTTTTTTTTTTTTTTAGTAAGTTAGACTCACTTTATTTACCCATGGAGGAAATAAAAACCTCTGTACCCCATTATTTGAAACCTTTAGAAAACATAATAAATGCAACATTTGGAACTATAATATAGGAACAAGAGATAATCATACAATGCTTCCAAATGAAGTCTCACATTGGATTTGCTGATTTTTAAGATTCCCCTCTTCTGGATAGCTTTGATGGCCGAGACAGAAGTTCATTTGCTATGTTTCCACTGACTATTCTCTTTGATGGATATAGGATTTATGGGGTCTAAAGAGAACATATAATTCTAAAGTGTTCATGTTTGAGAGAGAACTCTGCAGTGATCAGGACTGAGCCAGTTTTAGCATAAACTTAGGACTACATTAATAATGAGGGTTGACTCCACACAGTTTCGAGCTAGAGAGTGACTCTATCCACAATCACTGACATGGTGGAAAGCCAAATGAAACTGCAACAGAAAAACTGTCTTAAGAGTCTAAAAGACGTCTGCTCTGCTGATATCCGTCCTGTCACCTGCAGTCATGGGCATAAACTCCTGAAGAGCACCACTGGGTCTTAGTCCGCGGCATAAAGATTATTCTCAACATAGATACTGTCTTCTGTTGGGACTTCCTTTTTAACTGCATTTTGCAAAGCTTTAATTTGAAGCCTGCTAAATGTCAAATCTTATTTCTGAAGAAATACTTTCTGGCAATGATGACACCCAAAAGAGCAAGAGGCATCAAGACAGGCATACAGACTCCAGCACAGATTCCCTTAGTGGGGGTGGCCATCTGCGGACTATGTGCTGGGGACAGCTGAGTTTGACTGTTATTCCAAAGGCCATCTGAAGACTCTGTCATGGTGTCATTCCCATCGGTTGTGCAGGAGTGCAGTGACGAGCCGGCACGTGGTGTCCTTGTTGCTTCCTGCAGCATTGCGGGGTGGGTTTCTGTTGGCTGAGGCGAAGAAGGTGGAGTAGCTGGTCCGTGGTTCTGCGTGGGTGATGGCGTTGGGGAGCAAAGGTGGAAACTGTCACTGTCGTTGGAACAGTGGTGCTTATTTGAACAGCTGTGAAGGCTGGAACAGTCTTGATGGTTGGAACAGTTGTGACAATTGGAGTAGCTGTGACCCTGGGTGGTACCATCTCCAATGCTACAGTGATTTTCATGTCACTGAACTACACCCTGTGCTCCACATGACAACAGTATAAGCCACTGTCAGACACAGATGTATTTTCTTTTCTTTTTTTGAGGGGTGGATGGAGTCTCACTCTGTTGCCAGGTTGGAGTGCAGTGGCGTGATCTCGGCTGACTGCAAGCTCTGCCTCTTGGGTTCCAGCCATTCTCCTGCCTCAGCCTCCTGAGTAGCTGGACTACAGGCACATGCCATCACGCCTGGCTAACTTTTCGTATTTTTAGGAGAGGCAGGGTTTCACCATGTTGGCCATGCTGGTCTTGATCTCTTGACCTCGTGATCCTCCCACCTCAGCCTCCCAAATTGCTCCCAAAGTCAAAGAGACATCCCTTTTGGAAAGATCCCCCACTAGCTTATAGCATGTGTCCTTCTGATAGGTGACATGGGTTCCATTGGTCCAGATAATGCTATTTGGGCATCTAAGTAAAGAACGTCTGCCTCTGTTCTAACACATGGATGTGACATCTCCCCTGTAGCTGCAGGGTAGCATGGTAGATGGACCTGCCACTCCACCAATCTTTAGAGAAACGAAGGCATCTGCGGGAAGTAGGATGAGGCTTAAGATGACCACTTGAGGTGGCATTATGGGGTCGGCCAGTTAGTGAGGAGACAGTTTTCTCCCAGTCTCGATCTTAAAGCTCAGGCTTTTCATCCATTAATATTCTCTGATTATAGAGTTCTGGTCATCAGATATACTGCAATGGAACAAAACTCATCGGGCCACATCCCAGGTGTGTAGCAAAGTCCACATGTAAATTCATAGCTTAAAATATTCTTATGTCACTGCCAAGGGGCAACTCTCTTTGAAGTTATAAGAAACAAACTTAAATTTAGCTTAATTCATGTTCAAGGTAAGTATTTTAGTATTGCTATCAAGGAAATTCAGAGTAAAGTCAGTGTGATTCACTTAATGATATACATTAGTTAAGATTACGGGGTCGGAGGTCTTTGTTTAAGTGATCATAATTGTAAAGTATACGTCACACTGTTTCAAAAGTTACTTTCTCTTTTCCATTGTTAAGTTGCTAGACTCTGGCAGTCACTCTATCCACTATATCCAGTTGGTTTTCTTTTCTTTCTTGAGACAGAGTCTCACTCTATTGCCCAGGCTGGAGTGCAGTGGTGTGCTCTTAGCTCACCGCAACCTCTGCCTCCTGGGTTCAGGCAGTTCTCCCTGCCTCAGCCTCTTGAGTAGCTGGGACTACAGGCACGGACCACCACGCTGGGCTGATTGTTGTATTTTTAGTAGAGATGGGTTTCACCATGTTGGTCAGGCTGGTCTTGAACTCACGACTTCAAGTGATTCACCTGCCTTGGCCTCCCAATGTGCTAAGATTACAGGCATAAGCCACCACGCCCAGCCTTTATATCCAGTGTTTTGGATTTTTTTTTTTAATACTCTCATATACTAGCACCCTGAAAGGCAGATCCTGAAGCTGGCTCTGAGGCTTCCTGGGACCCCTTCTCTGCACAGTGACCTGGGCTTGGGGGTCCTGAGATGTCTGTCCATCCCCAACAGAGGTTCCAACCCGAGGCATTGGAAAGACTGAGGCAGGACATGACATCACCAAGGTGTAGGGATGAGATGAGGCTAATTCTGGCTGGGAGACTGTGGACCCTGAGCCCTTAGCTTCTGACTTCTAGGACTCTTGTGGCAAAGAAGGAGCAGGGCTTGACCTGCTGAGAAGAGAGGGCTTTGACATCTGTCTGGAAAAGGAGGCGGCACCAACCCTGCTGAGCTCCTATGTTGATATTTGAGTGTCATCTGCCAGAAAATTGTAGTAAGTTACAATCTTGTGTGAATACAAGATGAAACAGCACTGGAGTTGTGCAGTGCACAGCTTGCACAACTGTACACAGTGGCCTGGGCCAATGGCTTCACATAATCTCACTAGGTTCCCATATTTATCTCCAAGGCAGGGGTTACTTCCCCACTTACAAAGGCTTCCCAGAACTGCCTGCATCAGATAACTGTCTTGTGATTAGGAAGGCCAGAATGTGGGAGCACCCACCCCAAATCTTTGCGGCCCACAGAGGCTGCTGAAGGGACTTCTGGGTAGCTCGTCCATCACTGTGACGTGGCCTGGAGTAGGAAAGGGATGGGAGCTGGGAAGCCACCTGGGTGTGCAGGCAGAGTCCTGGTACAGAATTGGTGGCAGCAAGAGAAAGAGGCAAAGCACTCTGATGTGGAAATGCCTGACATTCTCAAGCAAAACACGTGTTCTGTTCATTGTGGAGTTATCTGGAAGTAATAGATTCTGCTTGAGATGTTAGCAGGTGATGGAACACCACTTAGAATGAATAAAAGTTTCACGTTTGTGCCTTCCAACAAGCTGAGCCTCCACAATAAACTGGTTCAGGAGCTGTCATCCACAGGGACGCTTGAGGCTAAGGCTGACGAATCCTGCATCCCAGGGGGAGGTCACTGTGAGAGAGGCTGGGCGGTGGGAAGAACAGGGAACACTTTTTTGCAGTTGTGTTGTGCTGAAGCTAGGAATGAACCCAGGTTTGACTCTGGGGGTCGCAGGGCCCCACTAGAAAATAGGATAGTGGTGAACCCCAGAAGTATCCAGTAGTTCTAAGAGACAATGCAAAGAGGATCTGGGTCTCCGCAGCTTATTACAGAACCAGTGATTACTAAGTCAGCCGAAGGGACAGCAGCGCAGGCCAGGCCTGGGAGACACACTGACAAGGTTAACAACGAACTCTCTGTTTGCTCTTCTCTTATGCTGATCTGGTTAATCTGTAATCCCCGCCCCTCGGTCGTAATCCTCCTACACGACAGCATCGCATCGCTCAGTGTTGGCTAGGGCCGCATCGGAGGGTGGACAGCTCCCCCTGCCCCGCCCCCACCACGTCACGCCAAGGGCTCACTCACTGGGCCTCCAACAGCTGCCACTACCTAGCTTCGGTCTAGCCCAAGGCAGGGTGGGGACTTCCTCGGGGTAGGAAAGGGGACAGGGAGAGGCACAGCACTACCTGCCCGTCCTCATTTGTTGCCACTAGCACCCAGAGAAACAAAGACCATGGCCTTCAGCTGGTACCAGACATTCTTCCAGGACCCCACCTTCACCCCCGGTCCCGCTCAGGTGCCCAATCCTATAAAGACTTGCCCCCATCCTTAAGCACCATCACGCGGAGGGGGTGACGGGGACAATTACTCCAGCCTCACATTTCATAAGAAGACTCTGATATATTTACAAGTGACTTCATAAGTACAACACCACAGAGACGCACTGACACCGTCAAAGGAAGGTGTTTGTTTTCCACATTGAAACCTGTGCCCATCGCCACCCCACATGCTTAGAGAATACGAGGTATGTTTGTTGGCTTGTTTGTTTTTAAACAGAGATGAGGTCTTGCCCTGTTGTCCAGGCTGGAGTGCTGTGGTGCAATCACAGCTCACTGCAGCCTCTAATTCTTAGGGTCAAGTGATCCTCCTGTCTCAGCCTCCCTAGTTGCTGGGACTCCAGGTGTGTATCACTACATCTGGTGGTACTGGTTTTTAAAACTGTAATTGCAGTGACCTCAAGCACAGCATAATATCATCTCACTCTGTGTGTGTCAAAAATTTTAAACAAACCAAAATTTCAATGAGTCTGTTTTAGAATTTTCTGGAAATGTCTGGACTTCTGTTGATCTCTGAAAAGCCCTGCTACATGGGGAAGAAAACCAGGGTGGAAACTAAGGTAGGCCAGGCTCCAGTGTTCAGTGCATTTTTGCTGAGATACTGCCTTGAAGTTTTTCCTTTCTACTGACTCAAGGCCCCACGTGGCCCTGGGGATTAGGGTACACATAGATAGCTATTATTCTGTCTTCTATTTTTCCATTTTGAGAATAACTCCCAATTTTGGTCTCATTCTAGTAACTGCAGACTTGGCCAGGAACAGTAGTTCACCCTTGTAACCCCCACACTTTGGGAGGTGGAGGCTGGTGGATCGCTTTAGGTCAGGAGTTCGAGACCAGCCTGACCAATATGCTGAAACTCTGTCTCTACTAAAAAATACAAAAATTAGCTGAGTGTGGCGGCGGGTGTCTGTAATCCAGGCTGCTTCGGAAGCTGAGGCAGGAGAATCACTTGAATCCAGGAGGTGGAGGTTTCAGTGAGCCAGTGTCATGCCATTGAACTCCAGCCTGGGTGACAGAGCAAGACTTCATCTCAAAAAATAAATAAATAAAATAGTAACCGCAGACCTGAGGATAAGATCTTCCTGGCAGGGGACTCGGAGACATCCCTTCCAGTTTGAAACCAGCTGTCTGTCCTGCAGTGAACTCGTCCTTTTCAGCAACTGCCCTGGTGCTTCCCGGGGGGTTGGCTCTCATCTCTGTGCCATTCCCCGTCACTTTAACATGCGACTAGCAGGTTTGAGGTTGGAGGCCGGGGCTTGGTGTCCTCCTGTATGCCTCGCCTGGGTTCAGACAGCTGCCACCAGGGGCCACCCTGAATCCCCCCATGGAGTTATTTTGAGTATATAACCAGAAGTAGAATTTCAGGATCATACGGGAATTCTATGTTTAATTTTTTGAGGAACCACCTGTGCCATTTTATATAATGACTGCCCCATTTTACATTTCTGCTTCATTTCCATTACATTTGTGCTTTGAGGGAAACCCCAAAGCACAAGAGTTCCAGTTTCTCCATATCTTCATGAGACACTTGTTATTTTCTGTTGTTGTTGTTGTTTAATACTGATTCAAGGCCGGGCGCGGTGGCTCAAGCCTGTAATCCCAGCACTTTGGGAGGCCGAGGCGGGTGGATCACGAGGTCAAGAGATCGAGACCATCCTGGTCAACATGGTGAAACCCCGTCTCTAATAAAAATACAAAAAAGTAGCTGGGCATGGTGGTGCGTGCCTGTAATCCCAGCTACTCAGGAGGCTGAGGCAGGAGAATTGCCTGAACCCAGGAGGTGGAGGTTTCGGTGAGCCGAGATCATGCCATTGCACTCCAGCCTGGGTAACAAGAGCAAAACTCTGTTTCAAAAAAAAAAAAATATTGATTCAAAGAGGTGTGAAATGGTCTCTCATTGGTTTTATTTGTATTTCCGTAAACACTAGTGATGTGGAGCATCTTTCCATCTGCTTTTAAAAATATCATTTGTGTATCTTCTTTAGAGAAATGTCTATTTCAAATCTTTTGCCCACTTTTGGATTTGGTCATTTGTATTTTCATTGAACTGTAGGAATTCTCAATGTATTAATATTAATTAATTCTCAATGAATTAATATTAATCCCTCATGAGATAAATGATTGGAATCTATATTTCTTGAGAGCAGGAACCTGCCTTAAGGCTCTTTTTATTCCCTTCAAGCACTTGATGCATGGCAGATGATGGTCAAGGAATGCGCTCCATGAAGTCTGCAAGGCATGGTAGGTTGGAGGCAAATTGAAACTACATTTGAAAAAAGGGATATGAAAAACATTTTCTAGGCAAGTCCGAGACTGGTTATCCTAGGAGGGAAGCCTTCTGGGGTAATCAGTGAGCCTCTTGCTCCCAAAAAATGACCCTGAAGGTGCAGAGGAGGGGATGGGGCGTAATAAATTCTTGGTCTTTATTAAGAAGGTGAGAAGAAAAAAACCAAAAAAAAAAAAAAAAAAAAAAAAAGAAGGTGAGAAGAGTCCCCATTCCCCAAACACTCCTGAAATAGACATGCTGCTGGCCAGGCTATGGGAGGGCTGAAGTCCAGGCAGACCTCGCTGGGAGAGGGCAGCCCCGGGCAGGTGGGCTCTCATCTGAGCTCCTGGAGACCCTCAAGGGTAAGGGAAATCAGAGCAGGGTGCACACCACTCCTGTGCCCCAACATTTGCCAAAGGGCCCCCTTCCAAAAAGGGCTGGAGAGGGAACCCCCAAGGCTATTGACCCTGAGAATTTTATTTCCACACCCAGGTGGAATCTATAAGTGACTGAACCCCTGACCTCTTCGACAAACATAACATATCAGGGCTCCTCTTTCTCCTGGGAGAACAGGATGTGGTGATTGCAGGATGGGATGCGTGTTGAAGATGTAAACAGGGGTGTGGGTGCCAGGCCACCTCCAGCTGGGGGGATTG